TGTTGTGTGTGTGTGTGTCTGTGTGTGTGTGTGTGTGTGTGTGTGTGTGTGTGTGCGTGTGTGTGTTGTGTGTGTGTGTGTCTGTGTGTGTGTGTGTGTGTGTGTGTGTGTGTGTGTGTGCGTGTGTGTGTTGTGTGTGTGTGTGTCTGTGTGTGTGTGTGTGTGTGTGTGTGTGTGTGTGTGTGCGCGCGTACGTGCGTGCATGCGCGCGCATGCATGTGTGTGTGTGTTTGCGCGCATGCGTGCGTGCGGGTGTGCATGCGTGCGTGTGTGCGTGTGTGTGTAAGTAGGTAGTAGAAGTCACGAGAGAATGTCACTTGAAGTACGAAGTGTCGCGCAGCAGTTGTGACGTGTGTTACATGTAGATGGATTGTCATGTAACTACCTATAATGTTTTTGATAACGGCTCTCCGGGGCACCGACGTGGTCGCTACTTTACAGCCAGACGTGCATGCATACATAGGTAGGACGGCTAGGTAGGGAGATAGTTTAAGAGACCTTCCCTACACACGACTACAGAGGTTTGGACACAGGGTTTGGGGAATCGCTTGTGCTGAATAATTCTGGTAAAACCAGGCTGGTGAGGATGATGGGTAGGACGGTTGAGTAGTAGTCTAACTGAGTTCCACCACGCTGCTAAATTGTGCAGGAAGGTTAGATCCAAGGTTGGGGAATCCAGGAGGACCCGGACTGATGTGTTGTCAGGTAAAGGTACGCACCTATACTGCAGCAAGGGAGCCGGGCTTACTACATATATCAGAACTAAGACCTGATCTAAGATCTAAGATGTGGAACAGAACAGCAGTTGAAACAGAAGCAAAGAGCTCCGTTGTCAGAAACAGCGTAAACATCTACGACAACGCGAATCTAAAATCTCGTAACTTTTTAAGTGCTGTGGAAATGTCGTGGGACTGTAGTAGAGGATGGTCGTAGACTATCTCGTGTGTTGGACTCCTGAGAGTCGTAATGCACATTTTATGAGGTTTTCGTCGACAACTCTCCCAGACTTCCTATAAGCTGATTCAGCTATCCCCGATTCGGCTGTCCACTAGGAAATCCAAGCGTCTAGAACAATTCTAGGGAAAGCTCGCGGGAGTTCGTTAAGGCGATTGGCGCGCTGTATCTTGTTATCTTGTACATGTGTCTACTGCGTCCTTCCCGTGTGGCTTTAGCTGCTGATTCTCGTGGATTACGTTTTCTCTCCCACTCGCTCCCCCCCCCCGCTTTCTCCCTCTCCCCCTCTCTCTCTCTCTCTCTCTTTCTCTTGCTCGCTCTTTCTCTCTCGCTCGCCCACTCGCTCTCTTTCGCTCTCTCTCTCTCTCTTTCTATCTCTCTATCTCTCCCCCCCTCCCTCTCTCTCTCTCCTTCCCTCTCTCTCTCGCGCGCTCTTTCTTTCTCCGTCACCCTCTCTCTCGCGATTTGCAATCTCGCCCGTTCCCTCTCGCTCTCTCTCCTTCTTCTTTCTCCCTGCCACCTTCCCCCATCTCCCTCCCCTCCCGCGCCTTCCCTTCGCATGTATTTAGTTTGCCTCACACTGAGCACGTTTGACCGTGGTTACGTACATAGACTCTCACATTCACGCCCGACACGTATAGAGAGAGAGATGGGGGAGGTGTACTAAGAGAAAGGAGGAGGAGGAGGGAGAACGAGCGAGAGAGAGAGGGGGGGAGTGTTCGAGAGTGACAGCAAGAGAGAGTGACGGAGAGAGAAAGGGAGCGCCCACGAAAGAGAAAGAAAGAGAGCGAGAGATAGGGAGAGCGGGCGAAAGTGAAAGCAAAAGAAAGTGACGGAGAGCGAAAGGGAGCGCCCACGAGAGAGAAAGAAGGAGAGCGAAAGAAAGCGAGAGAGGGAGAAAAAGCGAGCAAGAGATGGGGAGCGAGAGGGTGAGAGAGAAAGCGAGAGAGGGAGCGCGCGCACGAGAGGCAGAGCGCACACAAAAGAGGGGTGATAGAGAGAGAGAGAGAGAGAGAAAGTGCGAGCGATAGAGAGAGCGCACGAAAAAGAAAGGGATACAAAAATAGAGTATATAACACCGCAGCGTACGCCGCAAGACACAACACAGCAGCGTCTGGTCAACGCACGAGTGCAAACGCAATAGTTGCTCCAGAAAAGCTCCGGTTTCGTAAAATTCCGCCAACAACTTCCGCACTGTGGCGGGGCTCGTTTGAACTACATTTGTTCTACAAATCGGGGTCTCGGTTGTTCTACAAATCCGAAAAACGTTCTCTGGCATGGAACGTTACTGCCGACCAGGCACGCACTAGCGCTATAGGAACAGCTAGGGTCCTATTCCATACAGGCACCGTAGGAACAGCATCCGGGGTATCGGCAGCAGCAGCAGCAGCTAGCACCGTCAGCCCGCATACTTACAGAGCACTCAAGTAGCGCCGCCTGGCGCCTCACGATCTGACGCCTTGTGTTTTGTGTAAAGGTGGCTGGGCAAACGCCGCGGACCGGCAGGTAAACATGAGATCGGTTGTTTAGTTGTTTGCGCTCGGCGGGCGGGTTTGTGTTTGCTGCGTATCACGTTACACGCTGGCGCGCCGTCGTGTGCACTTTTCCCGCGGCACCGTAACCCCGTCCGTAACCCCACCCCACCCCCCAAAATAAAAACGCCAGCGGGTGCGTTGTCAGATACATCGTATAGATGGCTGTGCAAACGTCGTGCGTCTAGATGTCATGACTTTTGTTTTCGAGGGTCGCGAAGAAGTTATGCAACTTCGAGCATGTTGTGGACGCAATTATTCGCTCGTTCTCTCGCTCTCTCGCTCTCCCGCTCACTCGTTCTTTCGCTCTCTCGACCACTCACTCACTCACGCACGAACGCACGTGCTTGTCTGTGCGTGCGTATGCATGTGCGTGGGCGCGCGTGCTTGTCTGTGTGTGTGCGTGCGTGCAAGCGTGCGTGCGTGCGTGCCTGCGTGCCTTGCGTCTTTACAGTCGTACAAACCCGTAAAGCCGTTGTAACGGAACGACCCCAGCTGCCACTACCGAAAAGTCATGACAAAATGTTAGAACTAGGAGACATGCATAACATTTAATTTGAACATTGAGCCAATTATCGCTCCCTCTAACAACGCCCCATGGTCTCATCGCAGTGCAAGTGGAATAATAATATATCGTTCATGATAACAATCACAACGAATGGCACAACAGGATGTGTGACGTTGGCGGATGAAATAACGCGAGTGCGAAGTGTACATTTCACCGACTCCGCCCTCGATTTGAGAACCCAGAAATAACAAACCGAACGCAGAAAGAACACAACCGAAATAGCACCACGCCGATCATACATCAAACATTGTTACCAACGTAACGAGGCATCATGCGCAAATTATAACTTTCTTACTTGCTTACTTACTTACTCGCGAGTGTTACGTGAATACATTAACTCCTCTGTTAACTATAACGGTGCTCGCGCATGTGGAGACGAGGTTGAGCGATGACGTGCAATAGTTACTAGATCCGCCTCCATTCCGAAATTATATATTCATGTATCGTTATGCATATATTACCGCGGAGATTTCTGTCTCCTTCTCTGCTCTCTCTCTCTCTCTCTCTTCTCTCCTTCCTCTCTCTCTCTTCTCTCTCTCTATCTCTCTCCCTCTCTCTCTCTCCTCTCTCTCTCTCCCCATCTCCTCGTCTCTCTCTTTCTCTCTCTTTCTCTCGCTCGTCTTCTCTTTCTCTCCCGCAAGCAATCGTCGTTACCAGCGGCAAATTATTCGGGAAAAAAACTTCAATCGTGCAACACGTGTTCTCCGCTCTCTCTCAATCACTTTCTCGTCGGGCTCTCGCTCGTCTCTCGCTCTCTCTCGTTCTCTCTCTTCTCTTATCTTCTCCCGCGGTGCCACAAACTGTGAATAATGTCATACTTCAACCGCGCGGCCATGATGGCGCGTGAACTCCACTGCTCATTCGCGCGGCCGGGGCATGGGCATGGGGGGAACGGGGCCGGGCACAGGTGGATCGCCTCTGACAACCCAAAACAAGCAGACGCAGATGAAACACTGCCTGTGTGGAAACCCTAGCAGACGTAACTCCCGTTCGCTACTGTT